ATCACAATCAGTCGTAATTGACTGCTCTTTTAAAAAACTGAAAATCGTATCAGTGGGTGCCCACTTTACTGACACAATCACTGAAGACAAACGTGTGCATAAGTAAATGTGGTGAAGAGAGCTAAAGGTGTCCGGTTATCAAAAGATATAGCGTCTGGGGTCTTAAAGGCTTGAAGATAAACAAGCAGCCATCCAGCTGAGAAGCATCAAAGCCCACATGGAAGAAGCACACCAGCCTGTCTGACCATGAGGTGCAGAAGGGACCAGTTATCAGACACCAAAGAACTAAAAATCAGATCAGTGGGTGCCCACCTTCCTGATACGATCACTGAAGACAAAGGTGTGCATAAGCAAAGGTGGGGAAGAAAGCTGATGGTGCCTGGCTATCAAAATATATAGCGTCTGGGCTCTTAAAGGCTTGAAGATAAACAAGCGGCCATTTAGCTCAGAAGCCCACATGGAAGAAGTGCACCAGCATGTGTGACCACAAGCTGTCGAAGGGATCGGGTGTCAGGCATCAGGGAACAAGAAATCATGTCATTGTAAAGGTGGGTGAGTGCAGAGTGGAGACTCAGAGTCCATCGGTAGGCAACTGAACACCCCCTTGCTGAGGGGTTGTGGGGGGGAGATGAGCCAATCAGGGTACAGGGTAGCAACGATGAAACATATAACTTTCCTCTAGTTCTTAAATGCTTCCTCCCCCCCACTATCATGATCCCAATTCTGCCTTGAAAATCTGGCTAGACCAGAGGATGTACATTGTACAGATAGCAACTGGAAACACAGGGAATTTATGAATTATGATGGGTTCATGAGGGAGGGAGGGGGAAAATGAGCAACTGATATTAAGGGTTAAAGTAGAAGGCAAATGTTTTGAGAATGATGAGGGCAACAAATGTACATATGTGTTTGACAAAATGGATAGATGTATGGTCTGTGATAAGAATTGTGCACGCCCCCAATAAAATAATTCAAAAATAATTCAATTCTTTTATTTAGTTCTTTTATTGACATACATTTTGTGTACCAGACATTTTGATGTTTTCAATGTATTAAGAAGAGTTGCACAATGTCACCCCAATCCATTTTAGGTTATTTTCTTCATGCTTGTTTTCATTATTATTAGCTCCCCGTTTCCTCCCAATCTCCCCTGTCATAATCTTAAAGCACTATTACTCTAGTTATTATCTGTATAGACTTACTTATCCTGGATATCATGTAAAGAAAATTCTTAAAAACAACAATCACTACCACTACCTACAAAATAAGGTGCAGAAAAACCTCACCCCAAAATAAAGCAGAAAAGAGTAAGGGCTACATGAAGCTCTACATTGGTTAAAAATGAACACAAAGGTTAAGATGTTGAATTTAAACATAACTATACAGGGTTACTATGAGTCGGCATCTACACGATGGCAGTGAGTTTGTTTTTCTTTTCCTTTTATAGCTGCGTTAATTTACTTCCCAATGCACTCTGTCTGAGGACAAGACTATCCACATCCCTGGTCCATGGTCCGAGGGAGTTCAGTGGAGGCTTAATCCATGTGGGGACTCTGCAAATGGATTTTGGGTTTTCTTTGTCATCCAGAGCCTTTCTGAAAATCGGGCACTCGGAATTTAAGCTCTAATACAGTTCCCTCCTCTGATCTTGGATCTTATTACTTAGAACCTTTGGAACGCATGGGCTGGTGTCTTCCTTCCGTGTGGACTTACCTGACATTTCACTTAGATGGCTGTTTGTTTTATAACAATACTTTAAGCACCAGATGCTATTCTTTCTGATTGGGCACCATCTTATTTTTTCACCATGCTTTTACAATAGCACCCATATCTTCATGAGGGCAAGTATTGAGCATAGCTTCATTGTAATAACTAATTGTTCTTAAATTAGGTCCTACAAGTAAGTGCAAGCTCAAAATTCATTCATATTGCTAAAGTTAATATATGTTCCTAGTCTACAATAGAGGTAGCATTATCCGTTTCTTGCGAAAGAAAATAGGTAAACTCCAGGGGACATTTGATAATTCTAATAATGCTATCATTAATCTATTCAATAGTTCATAATTCAAAATACCAATGAGAAAAGAAAAATGTAAATGTTAATGCCTTATCTCTCCTAGATCAATGGTCAGTCCCTACATGGCACCCAGTTTAGTTTGTTAACCCACCCCTGATGGTGTCAAGGTCAAAGTAGGTTGTTTGAAATTACCAGCCACTCCTCAGGAGAAAGACGAGGTTGGTCCAGTGGCTGTTTGATGTATTGGATGGTCTTTCAGAAGCTGAAGCCCGCCTTCACACTAAGAAGCCATTTGCAGTCCTTTCCCCCATTAATGATTAGGTACCTGGAGCCCCAAGGGAGAGAAAATATGAGTCACGCTATTATCAGAGGAATGCGAAAGGGCTGAAACATCTCTTGCTGGGCAAGGGTCAGAGCCATGAGGCTGGAACACAACTCAATGTGTTGGAAAAACCTGACCTCTAAGCCTGTGATTAGGAGCCCCGGTGAGTAGTGGTTACTCATTGGGCTGTGTCCTGCAAGGTCAGCAGTTTGAAACCACTAGGTGCTCTGAGAGATAAAGATGTAAAATAGTACAGTCTTGAAAACCCACAGGGGCAGGTCTACCCTGTCCTATAGGGTTGCTATGGGTCAGAATCAACTCGTTGGTAGTGAGTTTGTTTTTTGGAATCTCCGAACAGATGGCTTCAAAACACACCCTCTCCTAATACTGCCTCACTTAACATCATACAGATGAGAGATTTCCAGATTAGATTATAGTTGGAGGCATCTCAAAACCGAAACTCACTGCCTTCAAATTAGTGGTTTCAAACTGCTGACCTTGGGGCTTGCCACCCAATGTGTAACCACTACGCCACTGGGGCTCCAGCTCTTTGGCAATATGTGATGACTTGAAAGCTAAGAGAGATGCCAAAACCCATAATATCTCCAGGGAACCAACCAGAAAGAGAAGCCCAGCTGGCACGAGGACCTTCTTCCAGAGCCCGCGGAGAAAGAAAACTGCTCCCCTGAATTCAAACTTCTAGCCTCCCAAGCGGAGAAAATCAATGTGTGCTTGCTAAAGCCCTCCCCTTGTGGTATGCTATCAGAACACAAGAGAATCGAGACGCTCGATGACCACATGAACCCCGTGCACTCTGGCTAATCTAAATTACTTTATGAGGGAAATAGCTGAGGGCTGTTCCACTTGAACCCAGACTCCGGGGGCTTTCGAGGAAACTCCTTAGCGTCAGGCTTTTGTTGCTCTACCAGCCAAAGGAAACAGCTGTCCTTTGTCAGATTTGCCCTGATTTGTCTCCTGGAGGAGGCACCTCTAACTTTTTCCATAGAATCTTCCCAGCTGAGCACAGACTAATTTGGTCAAATGAAGCACCCTATTTCCCTCATAGGAGACCTGATGGTGCAAAAGATTCAGGCTCGGTTGCCAACCAAACGGTTGCTGGTTCAAATCCACCCAGCCACTCTGCAAAAAAAAAAAAAAAAGCTTGATGGTTGCTTCTCTAAAAAGCACGGCCAAGAAAACCTGATGGGGGAGTTCTCCCCTCTCACATGGGTGCTATGAGTCAGAGCCAGCTCCCACAATTCCTTCAGAGACCCTGATTGTCTGGCAACAGACAGAGACAGGAGGGCTGGAGGAATTTGAAGAGCCAAACCCTATTACCCGAGACTAGAATACCAGACCCACATTGATGAGGGAAGACCCTCACAGTTAGGTTCAGACTCTTGACAATCTGTGATCTTAGGGAATTTCCTCACCTCGGTGGGCCTCCATGTGGTCTCCCATGAAAGACCTGCTTCCCTGGAGTGGCTGGAGGGTGCAGGAGATTGGTGGATGTGACAAGTGCATCCTCTCCCCCGTTACGTGTCATTAGACTTCTGCTCACTAAACACAGTAGAGTCAACAAGGCCACCCCTTCTTCCCAGCTCTAGCGGTCCCAGGCCAGAGACACGAACTTTTTGTAACCTTCTGTGAAAGAGAACTTTTGCTCTCCTCCCCACGGGTCCTACTCTTTGCACCAAACAAGACTCCCTTCAGGAGGGCCAGGAGGTGTCTGATACAACAGGAGCATTTGAGAATCATTTCTTACATGCCTGGAATACTCTCAAGAGAATGAGCCTTAGTGGACTCTCTAGGTCCAGGGTTGTGGGCGAAGCAGAATCTTGTTAAGCACCTGTGCGCCTTCATTGTTGCCTCTCACTCATTGTAACCTCATTGCCACAGCCCCCATCTTTAAGAACGAGGCTTGGGTCAATCCCAGTGGGCTTAGACCAGGACCAAATCATCAGCCTCCCCGAACTTCCCCCACCTCTAGAGTAGAGTTAGAGATGTGGCTTAGTACAGTGTGAGCCTGACAGCCCTCCTCATTGGCCAAGTGGCTGGGTCCAAATTGGCCAGTTGGGCAGTGTGGCAAGAAGGGAAATTCCTGGGGGCATATTTGGTGACTTGTTCCTGCTCTCCCAGATCCCCCTCAATGAGCCTGTGTGCCTTCATTGTTGCCTCTCACTCACTGCTTCCCCTGGGCAGTGTCGGGAATCCCCGCTGGCTCTTCCCATGGCCTGTGATTGGAGTTGCAGAGGCAAGGTCCCGTTTTGAAAACCAGGAGACTGGGGCACGAACACCAGTGTGTGGCTCTGGGGAAATCTCATTACTTTTGTGGGCTTTCATTTCCTCAGCTGTCAAATGAAGAGGATCCAATCTAGTTCATCTTCCATACAATGGTGGTTCAGAGTTTAATAGAAAATCAAAATGCCCATGTAGTAAACAAGGTGAAATCAAACAGTTACTGTACAAACGGAGGCGTCTGGGGTTCGGTGAAGTGGCTAGCGTTTCCAGGAGGAGGGCGCGGTGCTTGCTTTCCTAATGTTTGCCCGGAAACTTGAGATTTTCGATCCAGCTTTCATCCTCGCCCTCCTCTCTGGTTAGGCCAATTCCCTCCAGCCACGCCAGCCCTATCTGGACCTCCTTTAGTCAATAAGACAGTTACTCAATCAACAATTGTTTATTGATTACCTATGTGTGCTCAGCACTCTTACAGACAGTCCGGGAACTACAGAGGGCTAATATGTCAGACAGCCACACATGAAAAATGAACCGAACTATCGATCAAACTGGGAATGACAAGCATCCGACGAGTGATTTGTCCATTGGGAGGGCAGGAGAAGAGAGGGGCAGGGAAGAATGGAGTGGTCGGAGAAGGCTCGGGACAGGGGTGGGGGGTGGGGGTGGGTCTTGCTGAGCAAATTCTCCAAGCATGAGGAGGACTTGACTAAGGGGAGGGCTACTGGCGTTTCTGACAAAGCTGATGATCATTCTCGGGCTAGTAAGGGGAAAACGCCTTTAGCTTGTGTGGGGCCCTCTCCACACAGGGGAAATGGAGCATTTTCAGGCTTTGGTGCTAAAACCATCTGCCGGGGAACCCTCTGCTCTCCCACTTAAAGTGCATTTCCAGGTAGCAGCTCAGCTGTTCCTCAGACCAGGGCATAGATGGCCTAGGGCACTGCTGGGGAAGTGTGGAGTGTCATGGGGGGTTGGCACCCGGTGCTGCAGTTGCTCAGAGGCTCTGTGGGTAGACCCCAGGGGACCCGAGCTGAGCTTTGGGGCTGAATTTCCATTAGGCCTGCAGAAAGACTCTCTAGGGGCGGCCTCTCATGCGGTCCAGCAAAAACCATCCATTGGCAACACCGCATACATCACCCCAGTTTCTCAGATGCCAGAGCTCTTAGCTAGAGATGCCTTCCTCGGTCACTCCTGGTTCATCCTGGATCATCACTCTAGAACAGCTAAGCCCCTGTTTGTAAGACCCCTTTTAGGGTCCTTCACTTGTCCTTTAGATGGGAAACAAGGATTGGCTGCCCCAGAGGGAGGCAAGAGCTGCAGTGCCAGCTGGGGCTGCCATCCTGAAACAGTTCCTCCATGAAATCAGCCCGTGCTCCACCTTTAGCCTCCCACCACGGCCTCTTGTCCTTTAGCCTGAGCAAAAGGCCCGGTCCCTGACCCGAGAGTATACGGAAATCCTGGGAAAGACATCTTTTTGTTGTTTTCTTTTTGGTTCCAGGCTACCTTTCCTCCTGCCCCCTGGATACTGTGGGATGTCTTTATTTCAGTTCCCACGGGAACTAGCCCAAACACTGGGTCGTAGCCAGAGTGGTAGGGGAGCCGTAGGGCCCAACCGCTATCTTTGGAGTGAGGCTTAAAAAGGAGCTTTGAGCGGTGTCTCTTAGAAACCATCACCCTGCCTCCCCAAGAGCACCCCCAGCCATAAGCTACCAACCAACCAGAGCCCGAGGGAGGGTCTTTAATCAGAGGGGTTGGGCAGGACATGGAATGTAATTAGTGGTCTTTTGGAATGGATTCCCATGTAAACAAAGAGGGTGGAGTGGAGTCTTGGGTGGGGGGCTGCCCTACAGTAAAGGGATGGGATTTGGAGTAGCGGGTAGAGGGCCCAAGGCAGGTTGTGAGGGGCAAAGGGAGGGAAACCGAAAGCCTGGCTTGATCATCATCCTTTATAGTTCAACCTGCATGTTGTCACACCAGCTCCCCTTTCTGCCTTTGCTTGATCCGATGCCCAAAGTCAGTCTATTCTCAGCAGCACCTTCTGACATGGTCCAGCGGCCATGTTCCTCACCTGTGGCTAGGGAGGACTGTCCATCGGCTTTCACAGACCCAGCCCCCTCCCCTCAGTTCTGACCCCTGGTTCTTCACACATACCCTGTCAGACTGTACGAGTTGAATTCACTCTTGACTTTGGGTGGTTGGGCAGGTCTTGGAGAGCCCCTGTTGGCGAGGGGCTGCGCCTGGTAGGCATCGTAGTAGTTGGAATGGTTTCCCCGGGAGGAGCAGGAAAAGCAGAGGATGATTCCGGCTACAAAGGAGAAGAGGGCGGAAATAATGCCCAAGTAGAGTGCCTCTCCAATCTCAAATTTCATGCTGTTAGGCACCACTGGGGAGTAGAAGTCCCGCAGGATCCCATGAAGATTCCAGGCAACGGGGATGAAGCCCAGGAGGCCTCCAAGGATGAATAAGACGCCTCCCACGACCGCCACTCTGTCTTTGGCCCGGGAGTCCTGGCAGAACACCGTGCATCTCATCCCCACCACGGAGATAATGCAGGCCAGCGAGGAGAACGCACTGGAGGTCACCATCATGGCCTGGGCAGCCTGGATGTCCGAGGGTAGGCCCAGAAGGGTGCTGTAGATGTCACATTGGGTGATGCCTGTGCTGTGAGTGGCACATTCCATCCAGAGGCCCTTGGAGAAGCCGACAGCCGTCACAATGCTGGCACCCACGTAAGAACTCGTTCGCCAACTGGGGAGCAGCATGGCCACCAGGGTCCCCAATAATCCGAGAAGGCCTAGGATGTAGCCCACAAGTTGAACGCCGAGAGAGGCCATGGCGGACCTCTCAGTAGCAGTGTCGTCAAGGCCTGTCGCTTGTCTTCTGGCTGCAGCGCTCACTTCTTGGAGCCCGACCTCTTGTTCCAGATGGCACAGTTGTCTCGAGCAGGCTGACGTCTCTCCTCCTTCCAAGTGTCTGCGGGTGGCCGCAACTAGGCTCAAGGAGGCATCTACAAGACCTTAAAAAAATCCATAAACCAGATTAAATATTGACCAGAAGCTTATGAGAAACCAGAAAATACTGGGTGCCTTTTGACCTTTGTTATCTCTAGAAATAATAGGAGAAAGAAAAGAGAAAAAAAAAAACAACTTTGAAAGTGGAGCCAAAATGTCATCGCCTCCTGCGTAGGCACATGCCTCAGGTTGGCACCCGGACAAAGCCAGAGCCAGACAAATGGCTGGTTTCCGAGAAGGCGATGGTGGCAATCAGGGTGGATTACCCAATAAGCAAGGCAAGATAGTGAAACTGTTCACTAGAAATGAATAAGTAGTCCAAGGAAGCCTTTGTTTACCTTGCTGACTGGGTAGTCCATCCCCGTCAAGGATTGTAAATTTGAAAACAGGCTTTGATTCTGCAGGAAGGTGCTGTGGGACGGGGAGGGAGCCAGATGGCAGCCAGACTAAAAGCAGACTCCTTGATGGGGTGGGGGTGTCAAATTGCTCACTACAGATGAGTAAGTAAGTATAAGTAAGCCTATGCTTACCTTGCTTCGTGGGTCATCCAGCACTGAATGGCAGTGAGTAGGGTGGTAGCCGTGCTACCTCCAGGTCTGACTCCAAAGCCTGTCGGTTCCCACTGTGCCTAGGCACAGAGCCACAGAGCCAGCCCCTCCCATGCAGGCTGGGGCCAAGCTCCAGAGCACTGGTTCAAGCAGGAGGAACCAGTCCTAGGATCATACTTTGGATCCCAGCTGGTTAGGGAACTCTTACTTCTCCAAGGTCCTTGATCATGCTGACCTAGACCTGGGTCACCTGCCATGGTAGAAATCACCTCCAGAGGAGGCTGGGGTGAGGGGTGGGTGGGGGCAATGGAGACTTTTATTCACAACTCAGCATTCAGGTGCCCCCTGTCCTAACTAACTCCCACCTCCAGGTTGTTCTAAGGCCTTCTGTGTGTGACACATCCAACATTTCCTGTTTGGTCTCTTCATAGATGCCCCTACCAGGACTCGGCCTCTTCGGTGATGTGGAGAACTTTGGAGCAAAGGTTGCTCTGGGGCTTAGAGAGAAGCCTACAATGTTCTAGGACATTGGTCAGGATTACTAGGACAGTCGGGGGGAAAGGATAGCCCTAGAAGAGAAAGATTGGTGAGAGGCAAGCATACAAGCCAATTGTTGGGAATCTGAGCTGTCCTGAATTCTGCCGTGTTCAGAGCTCCCCCTATTTATTGCCTTGATTTAAGACACGAAGGGGTCAAAGGTGCATCCTTACCCACCCACCCCCCCCCCCTTTATAAGGCGCACTCATTCTTCGTTCCATCACAATCTGGCTCTTCCATTTTAGCCTTCTTCAAGATTCCTCTCTCCCTATTCATCTCTTAAATGGGAGTATCCCTCTGAAGCGCAGCCCTTTTTCCATCACTGAAGTCCCTGAGCAGTCTCATCCACTACCACAACCTGACCTGCCACCCATCCACTGGCATTTCCAAATCTGTAGTTCCAGGATAGACCTTCCTCCTGAACTTCACGACTGAGAGTGCAGGGAAGTGAAATTACTTGGTCCAGCTATTCTATCCAGTCTTTGCAACTTCCAGGGTGCAAATGACAGGGTGGGAGCATGCAAGTAACTTGTAAAGAACTCTGAGGAAGGGATTGGTGAAGTTCTCCCATGTCTCGGGGTTTAAGTAAGTCACCTCGGAAGCACGAAGAGAACCCCACGAGCAGCAGCAGGAGGAGCCGAGCTTGTCTCAGATCCCTGCATGACCGCAAGAGGGGTCCAAAAGAAGGCAAGGAGCTATAGTGGCAGCAGAGAGCATGAGATGGAGTGGCTGGCTCCCCAGCCCACAGAACAAGTAAAGGCAAGTGCATTCTGGAAGAAGGCTGACTTGCAGAGTGGGGTGCCCTTTGAGCATTTATCAGTGCTAAAGGAGCTTTGTAATTCTTGCCCAAGTAGGGCAAAAGCCAAGGGGGACCATGTAGCCGAGAGACCAATAATCAGAGACACAGAGAGAGAGAGAGATGCCTGATGTTATGATTGAAAAGGGGCACTGCAAATGAAAGACCTATATCTTTAATGTTTTCTGATCCTGACTTGATTTAACCCGATAGCTTCCTTAATAACCCCCTATAAGCATGACCATAGTCCGTGAGTCCTGTGTGGCCATTGCAATGGCTTATCGAACCCAGCAGAGAAGTCGAGTGGCAGGGGGGTGGGCAGGAATGGTTGGTGTCAGAATGGGGGAAAAGAAGTTGGAAAAGGAATCTAAGTGAGGCATAGCTGATCGCGGCCTCACAGCAATCAGCCTTGGATTCTGCTGCTCCTTTGCATAGCCAGAGGTCAGATGTGACCATTTCTCCTCGTGCCATTTCTTCACCGATTCAATAATCATATCTTTAAAATGTCTACTCAGAATTTTCACGTTCCACATGTTCAGGAGAGAACTCACCGACCCCTTCCCCTGGGTTCCCGGTGTCAGTGAATGATACTTCCCTCCCTCTTGTGCCAGACCACAAAGTCTGGAAGTGACCCATGACACCTCTCTCCCCAGACCCCTTATATCACGATGCCCCACAAATGATACCTCTAATCTGCCAGTCCCTGTTCTCCATCCCCAGAGCTACTTCCCTTATTCAGAAATTCATCATCCTCTCTGACCTGGACTAGAGTCACAGCTTCTGAACTGATCTTACTCCCAATCGTCCCTCCTGCAGTCAATTCTGCACACCACTGTGGCCAAGGTGATCTTTCAACACATGATTCTGATCCAGTCAGGATGTCACACACTACAGCGGCTTCCCATCACCCTAAGGATATAGTTGAAACTTGTTTGTACTCCATGACCTTCATCTCTTGCCACCCCTCCTTCCTTCCTCTTGCTGAACTTAATTCCTTTCATGGTAGTTCCTCAATCCTACGACGTTCTCATGTTATCCTTTGATTACAGACTTTGTTGCAGGCTCTTCCTTCTATGTAGACTTCCCAACCTCCATTTCTTATCCTTTCGGGCTCAGCTCAGATGTCTCTTACTTTAGCCAGGGTCAGATCTCCATCTCTGTGTTCCCATAGTATTTTATCTTCACTCACCTTGACCATAGTAACAATCCTATCAATAATAATAGCAACTGCTTCTATGGTACTTCTATTGGAGCTCCTGGTGGTGTAGACGGTTACTGAGCTCAGTGGCTAACTGAAAAGTTGCTGGTCTGAATCCACCCACACGTACCTCAGAAGAAAGGTCAATGATCTACTTTGGGAAGATCAACTATGGAAAACCTGATGGAGCATAGTAGCTGTGGTGTCACCGTGAGTAGGAGCTATCTTGATGGCAACTGGCAGCCGGATTGGTATGTGATCTTTATAAACTCTCTGCATGGGTTAACTCACTGAATCACTGCCGCAACTCCCTGTGAGAGTTGCCAATCATACCTTAGTGGATGACTTCACAATTGTGCATCTCAATCCGAATTCTTCTCTGCTTGTCTGAGATCTCATAGGAGATAGGGACTATCTTATTCATCTCTGTGTCTCACAGGACTGCCATGGTGCTTTACCCAGAGTAGGTGTTCAAAAGGTCTTAATGAATGAATGAAAGTGGCGAAGACATCTGAGTGGCTTCAGATGGCTACAAGAGGGACTTTCTAAATGAGTTCATTGTACTTCAGTGTAAGGGACCACAACTGCCCAGTACTAGAAAAGAATATTGAGATAAGGATGGAGGAATCCCAGGAAGAAGGGCGAAAATAAAGAGAGAGAAATAGAGACAGAGTAAGGGTTTCATCAATTTATATATCTAGAGATAGATAGATGATAGATAGATAGATAGATAGATGATAGATAGGTAGATAGATGATAGATAGATAGATAGATAGATAGATAGATAGATAGATAGATAGATAGATAGATAGAGCCAACAATGAGCTCAAGCATAGCAACAGCGATGAGGATGGTGCAGGACCGGGCAGGGTTTCGTTCTGTGCATAAGGTCACTTTGGGTCAGGAGCAACTCGATGGCATCTAACAACACCAGCAATATCCAACCAAAGACTAAGCCACTTAAGGATGGAAACTGTATAGTGAGCTTTTATTGTGCCTCTTCAGTATTGGGTACCTGTTTCCTGGTCACCAGTGACAGATATGACAAGGTCAATATTGACGCAAAGCAGTACAGAGGAGAGCCAAGAAATACTTGATGGGAGGGGCAGAGAAAGAGACGTATTTTGACTATCTATTCTGTCGTTTATTAGTAACGACACTGAGCCAATGCCTTCTGAGCATCAGTCTTTTCACAAAACTAAGCACCACTCTACCGATACTGAATGTGTGAATGTGTATCTCAGTAGCGCCTTCGCTGTTGCTTGTGAATCCTTCTACCTCTCCCTGAGGAGCATCCCCCTGGTGACTTCAAATAGTCACCACTCTTTGTGAGCTCTGTACTCTTCTCTCTTTGTCTCTCTCTCTCTCTCCCTTGCAATTACCCTATCACGATCATTATATTTATAGGCAAGTTTCTTATCCCAGTCATTTAATACTGAGGTCTACCTCTTCAGCCTTCCACTCACTGCTCTGCTCGGTCCTCTACAGGTTAGCTTCTGCCGTTAGATTCCCCACTGAAAATATTCTCATCAAAGTCATCAACAATGTCTTCATAATAATCCCTAGGGCTATATTTCTGTCATCTCAGGTTGTCACCCTCTTTCATAAAACTGTCTTCTCCCTTATTTTTTATTGCACCCTTCAGCGTTTCCCCTGCTCCTCAAAATGATTCTTCTGGGTCTCCTTTCTAAGTTCCTCCACTTCTGACGGGAATCAGCTATTCCCTTCGGAAAGGCACCCCGGGGGTGCAGCGGTTCAAGAGTTGGATGGAAGGCTTTACGGCCTTGGCAACTCGGAGGGACACTTCTACTCTGCTCTCTAGAGTCCCTCGGACGCCATCTCTTCTTCTTCTTCTTTTTTAAAAATCACTTTATTGGGGGCTCGTACAACTCTTACCACAGGCCATACAGCCATCCACTGTGTCAAGCACACTTGTACATTTGTTTCCCTCATCATTCTCATAACGTTTGCTTTCTACTTGAGCCCTTAGTAGCAGTTCCTCATTTTCCCCTCCCTCCCCACTCCCCCTTCACTCATGAACCCTTGATAATTTATAAATTATTATTTTGTCATATCTTGCCCTGTCCGACGTCTCCCTTCAACCACTTTTCTGTTGCCTGTCCCCCAGGGAGGAGGTTATATGTAGATCCTTGTAATCGGTTCCTCCTTTCCACCCCACCCTCAAAGGCCATCTCTTCTTTGGATCTTAATTCCCTCTGGGGTTTTAGCTAGCTACATCCTCCGACTCTTCATGTTCTCCGTGAGTGACCTTAGCCATTCCATCTCTATGCCAGTGACTCCTGAACCCGCATCTCTGGCACAGATCTCTCTCCAAAATTCAAGATGTGATTTCTCAACAGCATTTGGACTGGCTCCACCTGCATGTTTGAATGGTGCCCTCTACTCAATATGTTCAAAGTTGAAATCATCTTCCTCCTTCTCTTCTTACCCCCAAAACTCCTCCACTCATAATGTTCGCTATCTCAATGATATCATCCTCTATCTACTGACCCAAGCCCATCATTTTCTTGACATCTCCCACCCCACCCCACATACACACTTCTCATCAAGTGTGAGGCACTGTCAACTCTCCCTTCCATCTACTTCCATCCATCTACCCCCTCTGCGGCCTAACCTTAGCTGAAACTATGCAACTGTTATCCCTTGTCCAGGGAGCAATCTCAGAGTCACCTCTAATTTGTCACTCTAATTCAATTTCTGGCCCACCCCTAGGATCAAGTATCTACACAGCAGTCAAGGATCTTTCTGAAATGGAAATAAAATAATAATGTTCACCCCACCCTTTTGCCATGATTAAAATACTGCAGGAGTTCTTTATTGCTTTCAGGATAAAGTTCAAAGTCTGGAGCACAGAAAACCTTCCATTGTCTAGCCCCCAATTATCTTCCCGGACTCATCTCTCACCATTAATCTCCACCCCCATGCACTAGCCATCCTCAAGGACTTGGACTTTTCTGGATTTGCCCGTCTCTGTCTCCAAGTCCTTAACCTGACATTTGACTAGTCACCATCCACTTGTCTAAATTCTAGCTTTCTGTCAGGCCTCACCCTTGCCTTTCAGCCTTCCTTGAACCCACTTCCCACCCAGCCTGGGTTAAATATTTTTCTTTTCTACTTTACATTTGAGCTTTCAGTATGAGTTAATGAGTTACCTTGAGGTTTTCAAGTGGAAGGCCTCTTGCCTCCTAGGGAAGCAACTTCTGCCTCAGCCTTCCTGGTCTGGTCACCAAAGAACCCAATTTGAGTTTTCCATGTCAGTCAACAGTTTTCCCAAGGAGCCAGCCCTGATTCTGGGACACCTTTTAGGTAGGAACCTTTAGGACAGAAGGGGATAGAGCTAAAACATTCCATCACGAAGGCCTAGACTCTCAAGAGCACATTATTAACAAATTTATTTGGCCTAACTCCCCCTTGGCATAAAAAAAAATTACTCAGCACCTCCCTGGCAATTAAAAATGTTTGTATTATAGCCCACAACAGGATAAAACCAAACCAAACTCACTGCCGTCAAGTTAATGTCGACTCATGGCAACCCTATAGAGCAGGGTAGAACTGCCCCTTGTGAGTTTCTGAGACTGTAATTCTTTACAGGAGTAGAAAGCCTCATCTTTCTCCCATGGTTTCAAACTAATGACCTGGAGGTTCACAGCCCAACGCATAACCCCTACACCACCAGAGCTCCAGTCTAATTCAGGATAAAGTGTTAAGGATCTGCTTTTGAAACTCCCCCCCCCCCCACCATTGTTCCAGTGCACCCCCAAGGGCAGTATCACCCACTTTGGTTACCATTGCTCTAGGAGCTGACTTGGCAGAGCTGAGCCAACAGAACAAGGCGTCCAAGCTTATTCGTCATGAGAAATGGCTCCCTGGGTCAGATTTGCGGCAGGTTTCAGAAGGTAAAGGGGTGGGCAAAATAGGCAGTGGTTGGGTGCTGGGCCAGACTACATATTATTTTTGTCCGCCGATGAGTAAGTAGTAAACCTGAAGAAAGACAGTTCAGAGAAGCAAACGGTGGTTTGGTTTGGTTTCAAATTTTCCCATTTCTGCTTCTAACCTCTGGAAAGAAGTCCCTGTCACTTCTCGAGGCCCTAGTTTGCTCATCTTGGAACTTTTCAGCCTTAAATAACATAACGAGGACAGAAAACCACGTTGACGAGTGCCAGACGACTGAGCAACCATGGCGAAGGACAGACAGCTCGCTGTCAAAGGAACCCTGCTTCTTTGAGGGCTCCCCCTAGAAGCCAAACCCGGCTTGGTTTGGGGGAACACAGAACCTAGGCCAGGAACATTCAATTTGCCTTCTGGGCATCCAGCCAACACACTCCATGGTCCAAGGACCGGGCAAGAAGGTTCCACTTAGGATCCTTACCTAATCTTCCTTAGGGGAGGGATTGGAACTGCGGGAGGGGATTAAGAGGGTCAAAGACTAACAGCAGCTCGCGCCTTTAACTCCCTCGCCGCCGCTTTGCGCCTGCTCTGCCCTTCTCGCCATCGCCATCGCTTGCTCCAAGAACCTTGCGGTGGCACCTCTGTTTTGGAGGCAGCCTCAAAAGACGGATGTGGCCTCTGAGCTTCATTCCTCCACCCCATGCTCCCCCAGCCCCTTTGAGGAACAGGAGAAAATCAATCTCTCCCCTTCCCTTCCCACCCCTTGGCCCCAGCTCCTCTCGCAACTGAAGTTTGTCTTCGGAGTGGGTCACCCAGGGAATAGCAATGCAGGGATAGTAAGACTTCCTAATGGTCTTAAAAAGACGTTTTTTTCTTTTTACAGTCTTGAGCATCAAAGCAAAGCGCACTCCCGCCAGAGCACTGGAAATGAAAGACAATTTCGAATGCAAACATCACCCACCAGCTAGCTGGCCTGCGGGAAGTATTGTTCTTGAGCTCACTCTGCCTCCATTTTTCAACAGGACCGTTGAAGAGAAGAACGGCCCAGTCTAACATCCAATGAAGAAATTCTTAAGGACAGACTGACAAGCCCGGAAAGGAGACTTATTGAAGGCCCTGAAGGGGAGACTTTATAACCTCCCTCAAAAATAGTATTTTCTGCTTTCTTTTGGATTGAGGATTTCCCGTGTTTTATTTTGATGTTGTTAGTGTCTGTTTGTTTTTGGGGGGAGTGTGATTTTCTTTATATGCTATCCAAGATAGGCAAAACAATAGAAACAGCAACTCGATTAATCGTTTCTCAGAACTATGACAGGAATCCTAGTGGTATAGTGGGTTACATGTTGGGCTGCTAACCACAAGGTCAGCTGTTCGAAACCACCAGCCTCTCCACAGGAGAAAGCCAAGATTTTCGACTCCCACAAAGAGTTACAGTCTCGGCAACCCACAGTAGCAGCTCTACCCTGTCCTGTCAGGTTGCTATGAGCTGGCGTCACCTCCCTGGCAGTGAGTTTGACAGTGATGACAGGGGGAGCTGGGGGCAATGGAGAGAGAGTTCATCATAGTGGATACAAGACTAAAGAAAACATTTTAAATTCTATTGTGGTGATTATTGCACAACTGCTTTTCATATCTTTGAACGATTGAATTGTATGGTCCATAAATTATAGGTCAATAAAATGGTTAACAAAATACACCTTCTGCTGAGGCCATGAGTTTGTATGCCGGCGAATGTACTCGAGGGGGCTGTCAGGGAGCCCCCTCTTCTAGTCCACCTGGGCCTCTCCCAGCTAGACAATGGAGTCAACAACACTTCTTTCCCTCTCACCCTTTGCCCTCAGCATTTTTGCTCTATGAAGCTCCAGTCAGAAATTCGCATCTGACTGGGGCAATGCTTTCTCCAGCTCTGTAGTTTGATAGACTGGAAGTGTTTTGACAGCGTTGACAGAGCAAATGTCACCAAGCCAAGAGCTACCTCCATTCCCCGCTCCCGTGTCCTTCCTTCAGAAACCCAGGATGGCCCTGTCTGACTTCACCGGGGGCCAAATGAATAGCAACTAAAGAGGAAGGGCCATTCGAGTAACTTCAAAAGCCATCATGATGGAGATACTCACAGAGCAGTTGGTTCGCAGCGCTTTCGCGGAGGAGATACCCCTTGTGATGGGTGGGATGCTGAGGGAATGAAGCGAGCTGGGAAGGGTTCCAGGCCCAGGTGATAAAGGATTTCTAATTGTTAACCATAGCTTTGCAAAATCCATCTGCAAGCCTTGGGTCAGAGACTTGTTCCAGATCAGAATTAAACCCCTGGGGGGTGTGGAAGGTTGAGGTGCTTAAAAAAGAGGCGGGTCTGGGTGGGTTTTATGTTTTTCTTGTCAAAACTCCAGCTGAGCTTTTGTGTGGTGACCTCTGTTAGCCCAGGAGAGGCCTTCTGGAGGGATTTGGGCCCAAGTAGGAATTCGGAACATTCCAGCTCCAGGGGTAGTCAGAGGAGGGGGCTGTGGTATGCCCACTAGGTGTCCCTGGCTTGCAGCCCTCATGCTCAGCAGGAATAAGCCTCATGACACAGCCCTGGTTAGCTAGTGAAGGGCTAGTCCTGTGGCCCAGCCACGTGCTGCTAATGCCTCCTCAGTCTCTGCGTCCTGGTCTTGTTCTCCAGAAAGGGCAGACATGCGTGCTGGAAGTTCACCCTCTGGAGGGTTCAAAGACGCTTCCTACGAAGTGAGAATGAGGCAGCCCTGATAACGATGAGCCTCCCTTTCGCACTATACATAGCAGTCCCAGATCCTATTAGGAGTCCCCCAAAGTTCTATGAGGTATAGCACAGCGATGAGGTTTCTCTCCAAATGGCTCTTCTTTCTTTAAAATTGTTTTTTTACCATTTTTTCTTTAATGTTTCAAATGAACTGCGATGCCACCATAGCCTGCAAATCCACTACAGTTTTATTTTTCTTCCTATTTTTGGCCACTCAGACCAATATTTAGATCTCATGGGTAAGGCATCTGGAAGTTTTTTTGCTTTTTGTTTTTAATGAAGCTATTTTATTTTATTTTTTAAATGTTAATGAATATTTTTCATGGTACACTCTCTTTTAAAAAAAATCATTTTGTTGGAGGCTCGTACAACTCTTATCACCATCCATCCATCCATTGTGTAAAGCACATTTTTACATTTGTTGCCATCATCATTCTCAAAACATTTGCTTTCTACTTGAGCCCTTGGAATCAGCTCCTCAATTTCCCCTCTCCCTCCCCCACCCTCCCACCTTCATGAACCCTTGATAATTTATAAATTATTTTTATTTTTTCATGTCTTACACTGACCAATGTTTCCCTTCACCCACTTTTCTATTGTCTGTCCCCCAGGGAGGGGGTTATATATAGATCATTGTGATCGGTTCCCCCTTTCTCCCCCCACCTCCCCTTACCCTCCTGGTATCGTTTACTCTCATTATTGGTCCTGAGGGGTTTATCTGTCTTGGATTCTCTGTGTTTCCAGCTCTTATCTATACCCGTGTACATGCTCTGGTCTAACTGGATTTGTAAGGTAGAATTGGAATCACCATAGTGTGTGTGTGTGGGGGGGAGCATTAAAGATTTAGAGAAAAGCTGTGTGTTTCAATGGTTCTATACTGCACCCTGACTGGCTTGTTGGTTCCTTCTGTAAGGGGGTGTCCAATTGTCTACAGATGGGCTTTGGGTCTCCACTCTGAACTCCCCCTTATTCACAATGATATGATTTTTTTGTTCTTTGATGTCTCATACCTGATCCTATGGACACCCCATGATCACATAGGCTGGTGTGTTTTTTCCATGTGGACTTTGTAGCTTCTCAGAAAGATGGCCACTTGTTTATCTTCAAGCCTTTAAGACCCAAGACACTATCTCTTTTGATAGCCGGGCTCTATCAGCTTTCTTCACCATATTTGCTTATGCACCCATTTTGTATTCAGTGATCGTGTTGGGAAGGTGAGCATCATAGAATGCCAGCCTATTAGAACAAAGTGTTTTTGCATTGAGGGAGCACTTGAGTAGAGGCTCAATGTCCATCTGCTACCTTAATACTCAACCTATAAATATACGGCAAATAGATCTATTTTCAATCCTCATATGCAAATATATTTGTATATGTACATGCTTTTATTTAGACCTCTATAGATGCCCTTTGCCTCCTAGCTTTTTCCTCTATTTCCTTTGACTTTCCTCTTGTCCCACTATCATGCTCAGCCTTCATTCAGATTTCAGTAATTCCTCTCAGTTACATTGCCCTTGATCAAGCCCCACCAGGCCTCCTACAACCTCCTCGACATCGATTTTAGGTCCCTTGTTG